AATAGTTGTCACTAATTCTGAGATTTTAGGGGGCTGAATACAACACTGATCTCCTATTATCATAAAGGGGTAAGCGTCATTGACGTCACTAGATTTTGGTTCTGTTTGTTTACTACCGCGAGTGTTGGCGTGAGGACCTTTGTCATTCCGGCTTTGTTTTTCCTTTTTTCCTTTTAGATAAGTCTTTATTAAAGTTCGGGTAACAGGTATTTCTTTAGCTACCTCTAAACCTCTAGCTACGATATCGTGGCGTTTCATGTGGGTGTCTATTGTGGACACTGCCTGATGCAAAAGTTTTTCTTCATAGACGTCTGAATTGTTTTTCATAAGTTCCTCACATTCTTCTTTCAAAAGTTTTTCTCTCTTTCTATGTTCTGCTAATTCTTCCTCGCGGCGTATATATTGTTTTTCCTGATCTTGTTCAATTAGGTGGCTGAGACCCGTTGCATGTGATTCAGGTTTTTTGTCACTGTCTTTTAAGCTGGTTGGATCAAAGCGCTGACGTTGTTTGCATGCGGCTGCTGCAGCAACTATTAATTCGGTCTCATCTTCGTAAGGCGGTGGGGCTGTGGGCTGAATGGCTGAGCATGCAAGACTAGCTTTTCCCGCAGTAGATTTATTTTCTTTGCTGGAGCCTGCACTAGTTTTATTTGATGTAAAAGTATCTACACCTGGTTCCGGTCCCTTTTTCCATAGCGGTAACATTTGATGCATCACGTCGCGGCATTCTATCATATATTTTCTACAGGACTTTTTAAGCAGACTACTTTTCTTATCACAAATGATATTCAACATTTCTACTGACCTGTTTTCTGGCGATAATCGTTCGGGATAAGGCTCCGGAAATAAATTAGAATGCATTGAACTTACAGTCCGTAAGTTGTAAACAAAGTCAGTCACATAAGCACTCCCGCATGTTCTGGATACGTAATCATGGAAGTCTTCGCCGATTCGTGGACGTGGGTTACACGTAACCGGAAATGGGAGTCGTACTGAGCTGTTGTTTGAGACTTTAAATTTAATTTTTTTTGGTTTTACAGGTAATTTTGATTTTTTATCGGACTTGTCTGTGGTTTTTGAATTATTCTGACCCATGTTCAGTGATTTCCAGAGGGGTTTACACGCTTGAAGGATTTATGTTAGTATTTCGCTGCGGCACAGCTGAGGTTACTTTAAATTTATTGCTAGCAATTTTTGTTTGGGTGAGCAACTCTCACTTAGCGAGCAACTTCTCGCTTAACGAGCAACTTCTCGTAAAACAACAGGCAACTTCCTGTGTCTTTCTGCTTTTAATTTACTGCTTTTAACCCTTGTATGGTAATCGGGTCTGTGAGACCCGTTTTCAGTTTTCTTTCGTTTTTTTTTTTTTTTTTTTTTTTTTTAACAAAATTAGATTTAATTATTTACTAGCTTTCTCTGAGTGAGCAACTTCTCACTTTTTAACGTGCGTTTCAAGACAACAGGCAACTTCCTGTGTCACTTTTTGGTGAGCAACTTCTCACTTAACGAGAAATATTCAAGACAACAGGCAACTTCCTGTGTCACTTTTTCTGAGTGAGCAACTTCTCACTTTTTAACGTACGTTTCAAGACAACAGGCAACTTCCTGTGTCCACCAACACCACACAAGGGTTAATTTACTTTATTCGGGGACTGAGGAAGTCGTCAGTGTATCTCTCTGGATCACTAAGTGAAACTTCGTCAGCATATCCCGTTTCTTTATGGATCGATCACTGAGAGAGGCATAATACGGTCTCATATAAATATTAAAGACGTGTATTTACCTTCTGTCAGCGGATCCCACTTCTGACACCAAAATTGAAGGAAAAAATGTCCATCCCGGTTTTCCCTCCAAGGCACGAGCGATAAGCAGAGTTCTGTCCTTTCCTTCTAAGATTCCTAATTATTTAAAGTAACACTCAGGTATGCCATTCAGCGTGTTAGTACGAGCTCGGGAGCAGCTTGGGAGAACAAGAAAACAGAGACTGCTTTAGGTTGCCTTCCCAATCGACTCAAAGGTTTATTAAGTATACAACAGCTTATATAGAGAAAAAAAGGTTCGTGTGTCAGCAAGTTCTCAGTTCAAACCGGTACAGACCAAATAAGGAAACGTCTTCCTGCCTTGTGAGCAAAGAAGTATCCTGTGTGTAGTTTATCAGTTCAGCTACAATTTATGATCATCCCAGCGAAATACACTCCTAGACATAGAGTACAGAGTTCTTTCATTAGTGAATTCTGAAACAAACCACCTGGCCTTTAACGAGCCTTTTTCTAAGAGATAAAGAAGGGAGGATGGGAGTAAGGAAGTGGTCTCGTCTCTGTGGTGTTTTCGACCTTGGGGTACCAGCCTGTGAGTCTTACACATCAATTCTTGGGTCAGAGAGAAAGAGAAAAACAACTATTAAATGGGCCTTATTGAGTAACTCTTTTCTGTATAATATCACAATAAAACAATATCCTGTAAATGCTACCGTGGTATCAAAATATCACAACACGCTGGATGAAACAAATCATCTGAAAGATTAGTCGAGCTTATAAACACGTCAATTAAAAGACAAAAAGAAATGTTTTGCTCATTTTGAGTAAAATTGTCTTCAAATCAGCAGTCAGATCAAATCGTGACCTTTACAAAATGTGCAAATCCATCTCAGTGAATAACTTCCAGCAGCTTGTTTTAGAACGACTTTATTTATAGCTTTACATTTTCTTGTTTAACTGTTGCATGTGATTGCATATGTTTCTAGGATGTATTTCGAGGCTGGAGACCTTGGGAAGGAATCCTATTAGCTTCTCTAGTGGAAACCAGCAGTGATTCAGCTGAACTGTAATTTATTAGCTACAGAATTTCCAGCCTGTGTTTGACAATCTGGGTTACAAGAAGTAATTTTTCCAATGATAATGTAGCAATTCTTTTACAAAATGTGGTTACTGTGTTGAAAAGAAAGCCCACTTTTAAACGTCTGCTGGCTTTTGATGAAATGAAACCAAACCAATCAGAGCGTACGGAACGTGATCTGCTATTATCCCGACTTGAATGCCGCCTATTCATCAAACTTCACGGACCTTGACTGGGAGTAGAGAGCGCTCTGTGTGTGTGTGTGTGTGTGTGTGTGTGTGTGTGTGTGTGTGTGTGTGTGTGTGTGTGTGTGTGTGTGGAAGGCAGAAGTATAAACAGAGAAAGTCAAAGTCGGAGAGGGGAGTCGGTGGCAGAGAGGGGGAGACAGAGACGTTTGACCAGGGCAAATATAGTCTGTGATCTGCATCGGAATTAAAGGAACGACAGACAAGTGTGGAAGTTGTCTTTCCAATCAGCGCTAACCTTTCACAGACTGAGCTCACAGACATTAAATGCAAATATTTATTATGAGCATTAAAAAATGTCCAGTAATAGACTTTTTTTTTTTTAGTTACATAAATTAGATTAATTTGGTTTGCTGGTCTGTGCTGCAAAAGAAGCAAATAATACACTTACATGGAGACAGACTGTGCAGAGGTTTGGCACCACCTGGTTGTTTGTACTGGAGCCAGTTTGAAGAGAATAGTTGCAACTCTTAGAGGCACAGTGTTCCTTTACAAGCCTGAGACCACAGCTAGCCACGGGCTAACATCAGCAAGCCGACCGACACTGTAGGTACACAGCAGGAAGGTTATCATATAACCAAGTGCAGCAACTAAATTCACGATTAATTTCGCCATGATATGACCATATACAGGGTCATCTGAAACAGGAATGACTAGGGCATTTATCACATGGTCCATCCATCCACTCATCATGGTCTAAGTCACAGAGGAAGCAGTTCAGGAGACGCACAGATGCCCGTAGGTGTAGCAGCTCTACTCTGAGCCCCTCCTGATGAAAATCACAATCAGTTTTTTCTTTCATGAGCTGCCAGCGTTTGTCTCATTGCAGATCTTGGTTGCATTGGACTTGAATATTTTTCTGAAGCTGCTTTAGCCTCAGGTTTTGGTAATCGTCATTCCTTTAACTACTGGAGAGCGAGTTCAGTGCTGTCCTAACGTAACAGTCAGGAGCCTTCTGTTTGCAAATGGCCTCTTACATAAAAATGTGTGCTATGCAGAAGTGCATCTCACGTACTGTGCCACTACAGCTGTGACAACGCAATCCACAGATTACCTTTAATGTACTTCAGTAATCATGGCATATCATTTTAATTTACATCTGTTCATTTTCTAAGTAACTAAATAGATTTTTGGATGTGGAAGTAGTGGTGTGCTGGAGGTGGGTTGCAAAGTGGCTTGCAGAAAGCAGGTTCAGGCCACTGAGGGATCAGCTGATGTGGGTTTATCCACAGAGCTGCAGAGCCAGTCTGAAGTAACACTGTCTCATTTATTCAACACTACAAGTTTCAGTAGTGATTATTTTTGTGTGTCAAGCTTCTTTTTATATTTTTAATGACAAGAAACATGTTTAGTGGTGTTTGTTTGTTTTTTTTTTTTGGGGGGGGGGGTCATTCCTTTTAAAGTTCAACTTCTGTTGTTTTTAGTTTTTATCTGACTTGAATCCCAACACTGGGAAGAAACAGAAAATGTATTTTTGGGATTACCAGATGTCATGAAAAGCTGAGTGAAACTGGAGCTCCAGCTCTGATCTAACTGCCATAACAGCCTCGTCTGTTCCAAAGCTTAACTCCTGAAATCCAGCTCTTTAGAAATAAATCAATACGAGGACTGAGACGTGGTTAGGAAGGATAAAAAGGTTCATCTCTGATCATCTTTGTTTGCTTACATGTTTTGGTATGCATATCCAATGGGCTGCATTCATTCTACGCTCAAAAGCAAACATTAGAAATACTGTTTGTTTAATAAGAGCTTTGTTTTCCTACAGCTCAGATGTTAAAGGGCTCGCGCTGACAGACGGTGGAAGGCAGCTCAGCAGCTGCATGCTGTTCTCCAGGCACACTGATGGATGTATCCATCGAACGGAAATACCTCGAGCCCTTTAACGACTAAATCCATCTGTTTCTTTTCTCTTAATCTCAGGACCTGACGGCCTTGGTAGCCAACGGCACGGTGACCAGCAAGCCTCCCGTCACTTTACGGTTGGTCATCCCAGCGAGCCAGTGCGGTTCCCTCATCGGCAAAGGCGGGTCTAAGATCAAGGAGATCAGAGAGGTGAGCCGCTCGACAAGATGAAGTCTCTGTCGTAAAATCGGGCATTGCAGGAACGTTTTCCACTTTCCAAGAAGACATCAAACCAGATATGAGTTACTGCTGATTAACTGCTGATTAGCTAGTGCTCGATGAACAAGAGTGAAAGACCTAAACGACTTAAATATTGGCTCCTGCTTCTGGAAAAAAAAATACACACTTTATTTTAGATTTTTAAAAATCCATACACACTGTGGGAGCATAAGTGCTGGGCCACCGACACATGAGGCCTACAGGAGCTGCTGGCCATGGAAACCCACTGTGAAGCTCCCAGCCTGCAGTTTCTGTGCTGATGTTCATGCCAGAGAAGGTTTGACTCTCCAAGTCCTGTAGTGAGATGAAGGGCTTGGTTGGTGCCTCACATCAGGTCCGGTGTCATTTACACGAACTGTGAAGCGTCTGATGACGCAGAACAGAGCCATGAAAGTTTTGTGGCTGCAGTCAGGAGGTTGGTGGTTCTGTCCCTGTCTGCTGCAGTCTGATTGGCTAATATCCTTTGGCAAGATAAATTCAGATAAATTATCTCCAATGAAATGGTGAATGCCTGAAAGTTGTTCGTGGTGCTCTACTCACAGAACGCTATTTTATTCTAATCAAAACTTGTGAAGATACAAAAAACAAAACTACATCTGATGATAAAGATATCCTTAACAAAAATGTTTACCGAGTAAAATTTACATTTTTGAGCTCTAAAAGCCCCGTTCAGTCTGTCACCCATGACCCCAGATGTCAGAGAGAGGGAGCTGTTGAGTCTTGTCCTGTTTAATTTAGGATATAAACCCAGCACCGGCGTGGAACTGACTCGCTGTCTCTAATAGTCTGTTTGAGATTTAACCAGCAGAAAGTTAATCTGCATTTTACTGAGCAGAAGCTGCTTGGGCTTGTCTGACAGAGCAGACCCTGTTTGTAACAGGCTTTAATGGGCAGCTCTGTTTACAACCTGGGCACAGTGGAGAGAATGCAAATGAATGTTATTTTAGTATACCGTGACTGGCTTCTGTGCAAGTTTGACTCAAAGGTCATAAACATCAATCCAGCAGACAGGAAGACTCAAACATGAGCTCCCATATTTAGATACTAACTTTGACCCCGACTGGATGCTTGTCAGACTGAAACCTTGTGGAATAAATCAAAAGTGTTCGTGGACAAAAGCAGGTCACCAAAGTTTTCTTTTTGATATGTAAAATACAAGGACCAGGCAATAATGTGAACACACACAGTGTGAAACAAGACCTTGAAAACTTCACAAAGGCTTCAGTGTGAATGTTGGGTCGCACATCTGACAGCATCCGCCGCAGCATGAGCCAGCTAATTAAGGGAAAATGGTAAATGGCCTGTATTTGTACAGCGCTTTACTAGATCTGAATTCCACAAGCGCTGAAACTTTTATTCATTTCGCTTTGGCTTTCTTACTAAATATCCTGAAACTACCACTTTGAATAGTCTTTGCTTAACTTTGAGTGCGTGAACTTCATGTCTATTAATATACAATCTGACACGTGACCTTCTGAGTTGTCAAAAAACACTTTTTGGGGCCTCATGTAGCATCTGACAGCATTCTCTCTGCTTATATTTTTAGGGTACAGAATCACTGCTGTGTGTGTTTCTTTGTGTGTACAGACGACAGGTGCGCAGGTTCAGGTGGCAGGTGACCTCCTCCCCAACTCCACAGAGAGAGAAGTGACGATATCAGGGAGCCAGGACGCCATCATCCAGTGTGTTAAACTCATCTGCACTGTAATCCTCGAGGTACGTGAGTGAGGCCAAACAGGAAAACTGAGTGAAATTAACGAGAAAGTACTGTAGAAAATGTTCAAATGCCTGGTTTCCACAAAGCTGTGAAGTTTGGGGCTGAAAACCAGAGCCTGTGTGGAAACTCCAACAGCTGCAGTTCCGCTAAAGGCCACTCGGGGGTGGCTCCAGCAGTGAGTCAGTCCCCATAGACTCCCGTGTTAAAACTTTACAGCAGAAATAAACATGTTTACAACCTGGTACAAAAACCATTTTGGTCTCTATGGAGATTTTCCCTCTTCATAACATCATTAGGGGCGTGGCCTCTCTGACTAAGAGGTGAATGGTGACACAGGCGGTCATAGCTGCTAGCTGTCTGCTAGGCTTCACCTCAACTAACTGGAGTCAGCGAACGTGTTTGTGGAGCCTTTTAGAGGATTTTTAATTATCTGACCAATGATATGGCTGCTGTGGGGCTAGTTGTATTAACAGATCGTCCAAAAAGTGTGACCTCCTTCTAGGATTTTATATTTTTACATGGTGTCTGTGTTTGTGTGAGGGAAGCATGCAGTCTATTGATGTTGCTTGCTAACCTGATGACTTAGCAGACCCTAAAAAACCTTTTATCTGCAGAGAAATGAAATGCAAGGTGTGAAAAAGCAAGGCGTTAAAGGTGTTTGAGGCAGTGATGAACCTTCTGGCTCCATTAAACATGATATTACGTTAGCTAAAATACTAACGTTGAGGTTTTAAAATACTAGTTGGTGACATCAGAGTGTCTCCATTCATTGCATACAGTCTGTGGCTGATGCTCTGCAGGTTCATCACTGCCTCAAACACCTTTAACGCTGCTTTTTCAGCATTCCTGTTTTCACACATTGCAGCTGCTTTGGTGCACATTTCTCCTCAGTGCAAGTTTTTGTTTTTTGGATGTGTGCATTATCTGGTGGGTGGTTGCTATGACAACAGCCTTATGTGCCTTCATCCTTTTCTAAGCTAACCTTTACACCTTAATAATTAGTCAAAATGTCTGACATCATCTTACGTGATTAGTTCAAGGCTTTCTCTTCGTATCGGTATTTCTAGATTTGTCATTTTGTGACACGAGCATCATCGCCATCCTTCCCTGATCTATTATTACCATCACACTCGTGACACTCAAGACACAAAGCTTTTTTCTTCATCTGATGCAACCTGATGCTAATTTTGAAATAACAGAGCCGCAGGAGTGATTCTTTTAAAAATTTATGCAGCGGCTCTGTAATGATGCACACTCGTCTGCGCTTTATTACCACTACATTACATTTTTGTGAGATTTCGTGCTCCTTTCCAATAATCTTCAAAATGGAAACAGTAAAATTTATAATTCATGATTGTATTATAATTAATCAGAGACTGCAGTCATTAAGGAGAGCACGTCTCGAGGATTAGAAGCAGAAACTGAGAAATCAAAGGCTTCAGGAGCTTATTGGTATTCCAAGCACCTTAATCTGCGATGAGAAAGGAGGAGCAGAAAAGAAATAAAAATGCTGACCTTATTTAAACTTCATTCACTTTCAAGTGCTGGTACTTACTGTCAATGTGAAGTTGCATGCCTCCATTCACACTTTGTTTGATCTCAGTAAGAAATCTTTTGATGTACTTTGGTCCTCTGATGGACTGTTGTCTCCCTGCCGTCCACCCTGTGCATGCTTGGAAGTGATGCATCCAAACAGCACGTTGGGATAAATGAATGAGAAATCTATTTTTCTGTGAAGTCCTGTTGTCGGACGTAGAGTAGAGGTTTCTGCTGCAGCTTCACTTTATTCCACGGTGAATTTAGAGGGAACGAAATCTCAGAACTCAACAAAAATGCCAATGTAGACGGAAAAAAATTGATTCTGTTCATCTGGACGTAGTGTTTTCAGTCTCAGCTGACTGCAGGTTTTCCCAACCTTATATAAAGTACCTGAACTGCTCAGACAGCCAGCTCTCAGCCAAAGCGCCCATGTCCCCAACTTTAAGCCTTAATACATTTAAAAATAAAAAAGACAAAGACAAACTATCCCACGTACAGTTGTTATATTATAAAGTGTAAATATGTTTGTTTGTTTGTTTGTTTTCTGGTGAAATTTTGGATGTTTTACCACGAGAGTCAGTTAGCACTGCCTCAAGTGGACATTACAGGAACTGCATTGTTTTTGTACTTTTAAACTTCCTTTTTTTCCCTTTTTATTGTAAAAACTCAATCCATGAAGACAAAATATATGTATCACTTAAACTGTAAAGTAATAGCGGGGTACTGAGGTAGGAACAATATCCTCATATATTAAAGCATTAATCAGCATTGCGTCATTATAATGGCAGGTTATCACATTGTTACCAGGATATATTTCTGTCTGCCTCACAGACGTGTGTGTTTGCACATTTTTACCCCAGTTCTAGCCTCTTGTTACCCACTTACTTATATTTGAGTGCTGTTGATACTAGGGCTGCCACGATTTGTCGACAAAATCGTTGACGACTAATTCAATAGTCGACGCGTTGTTTGAACCTTGTAAGATCCTGAAAGACGCTGGAATAAGTAGTAGGATTTAAGAGGGTAATAACAGACTGAAACAGAAGATGGCAGCAATGCATCTACAAGGATGCCAAAGTTAAGTCTGGGAGCATAAAGAAGAATAATGTCCAATGCAAAATCTGCACAATGGAACTTGCCTTCCATGGCGGCACGACGGCGATGCACGAGCATCTGAAAAGGAAGCACGTCATGGCTTCTGATGACGAAGTGGTACAGTCATCTCAGTAAGCGAATTGGCTAGTTAGCTGCTAACATTAGCGTAAACAGCGAGCTACTTACTCATATTGATAGCTGTAAATGTTACGTTACAGTACTGGAAAAAAATATGTTCGTCTTCAATGGACTTTGTCACCAACAACTTGCACACATCGGCACACAATTTGGGGGCCTTTCGGTTTGTTGCTACAATCTGCAAATTTCACTAAAGGTTTAATAAACTATCATCTTGTCTTTATTTTTAGTTAGCACATACCTTAAACACTTCCAGCTGTAAGCTAATGATAGTTATATAAGATCAGATGCATGCTGGTGCAATAAGCTGTAGTTTTACGTCCAATGGATGCATGATCTGATTAGTCGATTAGACTAGTCGACTATCAAAATAATAGTTTGTGGCAGCCCTAGTTGATACAAGAGTGGGATGGATATTGGACATTACTTTGGAAAGTAAGCGATTTCCACAGATTACCTTCTTGTATCTTAATGCCCTACTATTACCATAAAAACTATAAGAGAAAGCATTTATAAAATGCACACATAAATGAAAAATATAAAGGCTGAAGTAAATATGAATTATCAACATGCAGGGCCCGTGATGTGAGAAATCCCAGTCTCTGGGGTCCACCGGTCACCCCCCCCCACCTCTGTGCAAACTGTGAATGAGTGTGAGGGGGAATCCTGTTCTGCAAAGCCAAATGTTTTGCAGAATATGTGAAAACTTGTTTCATTTGATTACGTATTCATATTTAAATTGAGCGCTGACAGGTCATCATTAAGAATCTCATCAGCTAAAACAATTAGCCTAGACTCTCTGGGTGTATCCTACAACCAGAACTTAATGAGCTGCAGTGGATCGCAGCATGATGAATATGACATTAGTAGAGTGCCTGTGTAATAAAAGCGCTCAGCATGCAGCAGGAAAAGCCGTGATTCCCTCATTTCAACCGCATCAGCAATTCAGACAAACACAACAATCCAGCAGCACAGCAAGTTTAAATAAGAGCCACTTGGCTTTTATGATGTTGTGCAGCAATAATGAAATAAACTCATGTTGCTGCTTAATGTCCCTTTGATGTCTCCCTGTTGCACCAAACACACAATAAGATAAAAATGGATGAAACATTAGCCGACACTTGATGATCAGTCACTCAGAGAATGTACTGTACAGGCTTAATAGGCTTAATATCCCAAATTAAATATAAAGCACGGTTGTTTCCCAGCCTCTGAAGTATTGAACCCCCTTCTGCTTCTATAAAAAATGATAGTTTTCAGCAGCAAAACTTATCACATATTAAATGATGAGCTTTATGCATTTAAAGATCTATCTCGTAGTCTTTTTAACTAAATCCTTCCAAGTTGGAAAAACATAAAAGCATATCTGTAATGTTAGAGGTTCTGCTGTTCTCCTGCAGCCAGAACTGCCATCCACTATTTTTTGGGTGACCACAGTTGGTGCAACTATCAGCAATCAATCAATTTAGTGCCCTTACTATATAACCACTGATGGTTTTTGCTTAGATTATGGCATCAGTGAAGTGGACCTACCACTCCGATGTCGTCACTACTGTGTATTAATGTGTATGTCCAAAAAAAAATCCCCCACTGCAAGCTCGGGTCCTCAGCCAGAGGCCTGGGAGCTCTACTGGACAGAGATCTCGGATGTTGTTCCTGGGATCTGCAGGAGCCACTCCCCTAGCTTTGGGGTCACTGCACCGAGTGCTGCGATTACAACGGTTACCTTCACTCTCCGCATCTTCTTGAGCTGCTCTTTCAGCCATTGGTACTTCCCAGGTTCTCATGTTCCTTCTTCTTGACGTTGCTATCACTCGGTATCGCTACATCTATCACTACGGGTCTCTTCCTCTGCTGGTTCACTACTACACTACAGTTCGTCTTGTGATTGGAAGGTTGCCGGTTCGAGCCCCGGCTCGTACAGTCTTGGTCACTGTGTCCTTGGGCAAGACATTTCACCTACCGCCTACTGGTGATGGCCAGAGGGGCCGATGGTGCGATATGGCAGCCTCGCTTCTGTCAGTCTGCCCCAGGGCAGCTGTACCTGTAGCTGCCTCCACCAGTGTGTGAATGTGAGTGTAAATGAATAGTGGAATTGTGAAGCGCTTTGAGGGTCTCGAAAAGCGCTATAGAAATGCAATCCATCATTAATTATATCATCAGTTATATCGTTATTGCAAATTTTCAAATGTATATCGTGATAAATATTTTTGGTCATATCGCCCTGCTCTAGTGGTAGTAGGGACTGTCCAGATGTCACATCTTCTAGTAGTCTTTCAGAGGATGCTTCACGTAGTCTTCGTAATCGGCCAGGAGGATCCAGGGTAGAGCTGTTATCCATTATCTCAGGTCAGCCGCTCTCGCACTCAAGGCCTTCAACGCACCAGTTGTTCTTGGGGTTTGGTGTCCAGTCTCAGAGGGTAGGGCTGATGATATCTCCCACCTCAAAAGTCAAGGAAACCACAGGACACATCCAAAAATGTTTCATCACAACGCTGGTAAAATGTTGCCTTGGTGGTTAAAATTTAAACAGGGTAATGACAAAAAGTACCTTTAACCCATATCGCAAGCTCATCCCTAAACTAACCAAGTAGTTTTTAGTGTTAAACCCAATCTATTAAACACAAGCGCCTCAATGGGGAGTCAGATTTGTAAGTTATTATTCCAACACTCGCCTTCCAATGTTTCAACACTGATTTCATGCTAAAGATATAAAGCAGCTGGTTTTGCCCTTGAATAACAGTGAGACACACACACAATGGTAAAACACAGCTCAGCACTACAATTGACTTTCTATTGACGTTGCTTTCACAGATGCCAGCCAGTGTTGGGGAGTAACGGAGTACATGTACCAGCATTACATACTTAAAATACAAAATATGAGTAACTGTATTCCGTTACAGTTACCGTTTAAAAAGGTGGTATTCAGAATACAGTTACTTTGTTGAAATAAATGGATTACACGGCGGTCTTTTCCTGTTTCATATGCTCGGCTGTGTCCTCTCTGTTTTTGGTAATTCCAGGCCGGTGGAAACCCAAACAAAACACACATTAAGAGGCTCTGATGTCTGTGTCTCAATCTCATGGCCCATGTCTTCTCTACTTGTGCCCCGAATAGTGATGTGAAGAAATATTTTTAAAAATTATTATTCAAAAAATGATTTAATATGAAGGCAATAGGCAGAGTGTTACAGGCATCGCCCTAAAGAAAGTACGAGCTGTCATGGAGCAGAAACGGGAGCTGGAAGCATGTAAATATAATAATAACCACTGCAGCCAAACAGAGAGCCTGACGAGCCCAGCTGTAAGTAAGCTGTTAAGACTCAACTGTACGCTGCGTTTGTGTTTTCCTCCGAAATAATAAGTTCCAGAATAGTTTTCTACACGAGATCGCTGCAAAAAGTGCAGCCTTACCTAATGTCCACCTACTGTTACTCATTTATATTAAGATTTAAACATCTGGTTGGTGTTGGTGTGGAGAGTAACCTTCAGTAATACTAATAAATCACACAGCAATAGGACATTAATGTAGTTGTAAAAAGCATGATAATATAAAAAGTAAATATATAAAGTATATATATACATAAAGTAATCCAAAGTATTCAGAATATTCGTCATATAATCTGTAGTGGAATACATTTTAGAGGTAACCTTCCCAACGCTGATGCCAGCACATAATTGGACCCCATTATTTGCCACCACCACCTTAAGATTCTTCATATGTTTGTGCCTATAACCTCACCTCTGACTGTCTTTTCTTTATCTGTAGTCTCCACCAAAAGGAGCGACTATTCCATACCGACCCAGCCCGACTCCGGGAACTGTACTGCTGGCAGGAAACCAGGTAAGCTGTTGGAGAATGATGGTAATTAACATCCTGCTGGAAATCATGTACCACTGTAAAGGTCCTTCAGATGAACCGTAACAGGGAGCAAAACATAAAATATGCAAGACGGCAGGAAAATGATAGATGGAGCAGACAGAACAAAATAATGAAGGTATCCGGTGATGAAAGTAGTATAAGAGTGGCAGAATAAAGGAAATGATTAATGAAAGCAGAACAAACAGATTTATAGACGGAAGAAAATCAGGTAACAGAAGGAAGCATGAAAGGAGGAGAGGCAGAGATGTTGGTGAGAGAGGCACGGGCGGACGGATTAATGGGTCAGATAGACGCGTAGATGAAGGGGATTTAGGGAGGTATGAAGAAATGATGGATGTATGGGAGTACTGAGGAAGAGATGGAGGAGTGGACGGATGAGTGAGTCGATACATAATTTATTATTCAAGAATATGCTTTGGTTTGCAATTTCAGTGTCAGACAGAATACCCACATGGTCGCTTACCCTCTTATGTTTTTTCCATGCACAGACACAGTCATGTTTCCATCTTTTCAGAGGAGATCAAACTGCCTTACTTTAATTTCCTGGATGTAGACTAAACTTAATCTAGAACAGCAATTTCCTTCAAATGGCTCAACAGGCAACTTTTGGTCCTCACAAAAAACCGAGGTCCCCGCAAGTCATTAAATAGATTTATGTCCCCACAACATCAGTAATACAAGTATGGATGTGTACACACACACAGTCCACTTGCTAAGTTGTAGGGTGTAGGCGGCTCCTGTCACACCAGTTCAGTATGATAAAATGATGCTTTTTTATGACGACTCACAATTCTTAAGTATTCACTAGAGAAAACATTTGTCGCTGCTGGAGAGGAAACCTTGGTTTGTCTGTGTTTCTGTGAATGAATTTGTTGGATTGGAACGTTTTCACCAAATTCTACTATATATGATTTTTATTTCCAGACCAGATTGTTATCTCTTCCAGGGAAGTCATGTGATCATCCATTTGATAGCATCCTTGAAAGGCTGGGGATGGATTTGAACAAATATGGGGACTGGTTGAACTTGATTCACTTTTAGATACAATCTGATTCTATAACCAGGAATTTGTGGAAAATGGTTTTTGTTCCAAAATAGGGCAAAACTTTGCATCATGTAAGATCAGATGGACATCTATCAGGTCATTGGTGACCCATCTAAGGCTACGATTAAGATATTGTTTGTTTGTAGCTGAACTTTTCCTTGTTTGGAACACCTCATAATGGAAAGACACTGGTGTCAAATATATTTGAGTTCAACTTAAAACTATCTTGTAGTTTCTATAAATTTGCCTTAGACATGTTTGGGCTGGTGCCCTGGTGCATATTACATGATCGGTGATCTCAAAATTAACTTAGATTTTCCTTCAAAGGTCTTAATATTTTTTACAAAATGTGCATGAAACACTTAATTTTGTTGTGACATCTTTTATTCAGGTAAGAAAAACAAGGTTGCACAAATAGGATGCAATCTGCAATCGATGTAGAAAACCTGAAAAATGAAATTAGATGTTTGTCTGCAGATTCGAAGGTAATCAGTGGGAAGCCACCTCGTAGTAAAAACAAAACAATGGATTTGCTGTCTTAAAGATAATTTAAAGTAAAGATATAATAAGAAACGATGCTTTTTGCCTTCTTACCACTTATTCTGCCAAGATGCTCTTCAGGCTGCAGGGATTGATTGTCAGTATAATCACATCAAGTCCCATTTCTGACGATTACACTGTCTATTGGGGATCTTCAGATTAAACCAATAACTCATTGTAATAGATCACCATGTGGAACTGATTTAGGTAATTGTATCATGGTGTTAGAGGATTATAGTCAAGGTTGGAAAGGAAAATCTAGATTATTTATTGATAAAATCAACAGGCCTGTGCCTACTTCTTTTATAAAGGCGCCTGTCCACTCAGTTTGGTTGCCGGGTCTCACGCCTGTCTGTCTGACCACCACGGACCACCGAATTTCTCCGTCTACACCTCCAATTCTCTCCCTCCTCAACCACCGGACGAAGCCCCCAAATGTTAAGGTTCAAATATTGAGGAAGGAGAGTACAAACAACCATGGTCCAAGAGCTTGGTCAAACAATTGATTTTAATTAAATACACGCGTGGGAAGACCAGCTCCGTTCGCAGACAGCGCTGATCTCCAACCAATCAAAGCGTAAACAGATTTTTTATACCATCAGGGTTTGAATTTAATGACGCCCGCTCATGCGTCATCAGATACAATATTTGCATACGTCAATTCAAAACCACAATGACTTTTAACACAGTTTGAAAAGGAACATTGTCTCTGTCTTCATGGCAGATGTTTCCTGTCAACCCGCTTCTCCAAACCCGCAGTTACAAGACAACATGATTAACCTCTCACCTATAAATGATTCTCTCTAACTGAGTGTGTGTGTGTGTGTGTGTGTGTGTGTGTGTGTGTCGTCCTTAAATGCTCTCTCATCTCACCCGTTGCACTTCTGACTTTTCACCAGAACAGAGGCTCATCCTTACATGTAATCCTCAGAATAACCTGCACTTAGACCCTGCTTTCGGTTTCAGTTCTGCAACAGGCACACTCTGCAAACCTGCAATTTCCTGTCAGCCTGTGGCTTTCTGAAAGACACACACTGTTTAAACATCTGAATGCAATATCAATACTGTAGATTATATTATTAATCTGGACAATAGCAGCAAAATAATTTCCCTGATCTCCACACAGCCTAATAATGTTTCTCCAAGTATTATTGAACAAAAACAGCACATATTTTACTTGTTTGCATTTGCAGAGTTTACAAATGAAACTGTGACATCTACTAAAATAAATGCTCAGTGATGCTGAGCGCCATAAACCCCAACCTAAACGTTCCTGCATTTACAGAAAGTATTAATCGACAGAGAAAAACATGTTCTGGGTAGAAGTGGCTCAACATTTAGCCCAAGGCTGCTCCAGTGTAAACACAGGTAGAGGATTTTATATCTTTCTAAGTTTCTTAGTCCTGGGGAAAGTCCCTGCAGTGAAATGACAGCTAGAAGCACGAGAAGCTGCTGTTAAGACTCTTTGTGCCTCTGCTAGCTTAAGTCTGGGAGTCTCTTGGCCCTTTGACAGTCAGTAGAAACACATTTATGGCCCTTTGTGAGTCACTGTGTTACGGCTGTGCTACAAAATCTCTCTGTGTGTTTCTTTAAGCGTAACCCCAGAGATTCCCAGCGTACCGCAGTCACATCCTTCCCGTTTAACCCGTTGACCTTGTAAAGTTGTTCTTGTTGAGCTTGGATTACACCACTGTTATTGACTCTTATCGACAAGGCACAAACTGGAAATGTGGTCGTCCAGATTTCTAAAGAAACTGAAGCTACAGAAGCACAAGCAGCATGTTTCGTTCCTCAGAATCATCCAGATTCTGCTACATTTAATTTTTCATCAAACCCAACACACCAGAGGAAGACAGCCTGAAGATGCTGAGTTGGGGCTAAAAGCTCACAGGTCAGGCGGTGGTGACAACAAACATCTCTCCTTCTAGAGACCCAGTTAGCATGAATGCAGCCTTCCTGTGTGCTGATAGGTTGATTTGGCTTAGTGACAAAGAACAGCTTCATGGTTTGTAGCATTTGGTGATTTATGAATATGAAACAGAAAAAGACTTCATGATAATCGACGTGATTGTTAAAATTGAAACAGCCTCAGAATTGCGAGCAAGATCATTTTGCACTGAGTACAGGGAGTGCAGAATTATTAGGCAAATGAGTATTTTGTCCACATCATCCTCTTCATGCATGTTGTCTTACTCCAAGCTGTATAGGCTCGAAAGCCTACTACCAATTAAGCATATTAGGTGATGTGCATCTCTGTAATGAGAAGGGGTGTGGTCTAATGACATCAACACCCTATATCAGGTGTGCATAATTATTAGGCAACGTCCTTTCCTTTGGCAAAATGGGTCAAAAGAAGGACTTGACAGGCGCAGAAAAGTCAAAAATAGTGAGATATCTTGCAGAGGGATGCAGCAGTCTCAAAATTGCAAAGCTTCTGAAGCGTGATCATCGAACAATCAAGCGTTTCATTCAAAATAGTCAACAGGGTCGCAAGAAGCGTGTGGAAAAACCAAGGCGCAAAATAACTGCCCATGAACTGAGAAAAGTCAAGCGTGCAGCTGCCAAGATGCCACTTGCCACCAGTTTGGCCATATTTCAGAGCTGCAACATCACTGGAGTGCCCAAAAGCACAAGGTGTGCAATACTCAGAGACATGGCCAAGGTAAGAAAGGCTGAAAGACGACCACCACTGAACAAGACACACAAGCTGAAACGTCAAGACTGGGCCAAGAAATATCTCAAGACTGGTTTTTCTAAGGTTTTATGGACTGATGAAATGAGAGTGAGTCTTGATGGGCCAGATGGATGGGCCCGTGGCTGGATTGGTAAAGGGCAGAGAGCTCCAGTCCGACTCAGACGCCAGCAAGGTGGAGGTGGAGTACTGGTTTGGGCTGGTATCATCAAAGATGAGCTTGTGGGGCCTTTTCGGGTTGAGGATGGAGTCAAGCTCAACTCCCAGTCCTACTGCCAGTTTCTGGAAGACACCTTCTTCAAGCAGTGGTACAGGAAGAAGTCTGCATCCTTCAAGAAAAACATGATTTTCATGCAGGACAATGCTCCATCACACGCGTCCAAGTACTCCACAGCGTGGCTGGCAAGAAAGGGTATAAAAGAAGAAAAACTAATGACATGGCCTCCTTGTTCACCTGATCTGAACCCCATTGAGAACCTGTGGTCCATCATCAAATGTGAGATTTACAAGGAGGGAAAACAGTACACCTCTCTGAACAGTGTCTGGGAGGCTGTGGTTGCTGCTGCACGCAATGTTGATGGTGAACAGATCAAAACACTGACAGAATCCATGGATGGCAGGCTTTTGAGTGTCCTTGCAAAGAAAGGTGGCTATATTGGTCGCTGATTTGTTTTTGTTTTGTTTTTGAATGTCAGAAATGTATATTTGTGAATGTGGAGATGTTATATTGGTGTCACTGGTAAAAATAAATAATTGAAATGGGTATATATTTGTTTTATATATATATAATATATATAAAACAAATATATATATATATATATATATATATATATATATATATATATATATATATATATTTGTTTTTATATATATTATATATATAATATATATTTATATATATATATATATAATATATATTATATATATATATAAATATATATTATATATATAATATATATTTATATATATTATATATATATATAAATATATATATATATATAATATATATATATATATATATATTATATATATAATATATATTTATATATATATAAATATATATAAATATATATATATTATATATATATATATATTATATATATAATATATATTTATATATATATAAATATATATAAATATAAATATATATATATATAAATATATATTTATATATATATAAATATATATTTGTTTTTTGCCTAATAATTATGCACAGTAATAGTCACCTGCACACACAGATATCCCCCTAAAATAGCTAAAACTAAAAACAAACTAAAAACTACTTCCACAAACATTCAGCTTTGATATTAATGAGTTTTTTGGGTTCATTGAGAACATGGTTGTTGTTCAATAATAACATTATTCCTCAAAAATACAACTTGCCTAATAATTCTGCACTCCCTGTATGCTCATCTCATGCTTGCATACTTTAAGAGCCACAGAAATAATAAGTTCACTGATATCATTGAATACTAAATGTGGATATTAACTGTTATGAGCCTGATATTTGTCACCCTGGTGTTGTTTTTGTAAACCAGAGAATTGAACTGAATGAAAGCTGAATGATCCAAATATTCTGACCTCGTTTGCCCCCAATTAGCACTTTCTGCTCACGCATAACAAAACCAAAGTAGAAAAATCCTGCACGATTTCTCCCTGTAGGGTTTTCAAAGTACCTTGAATTCTGAAAAGTTTGCTTTGAAAACTCTGATGCTTAATTGGTTGCAGAAATCTTGCCGTGTGCACTCAGGCTCGACGGTGCATCGGAGCTTAGCAGCGCGCAGGTTGTCATTTGGTCAGTCCGAGACCTGCATGATTTTTATTTTTCCCTAAGAGAGTGGCACAACTGAGATCTGTCTGTACTTGGTCACACATCACTGGACTGCAGCACAGATTGTTTGGAGATTGACTTGGACGTCTCTCTGCGTAGTTGTCTGGGGCATTTGGTTATTTGTGGATGAACTCTGAGGCGCTGCTGCAGTCAGCGGTGGGACAGTTTGTATTTCATCAACTCGAAACCCTAAAATCTCATGTAAAGTAAAATCAATGCTGAAGAAGATTCAATAAAACAAGGTCCTTTTTAACTTTAGTGCATCAAAGTTTTCCACCAGCACTTTAGTTTAAGTGACAGAGACAGAAATCAGTCGTTGTGTTTGCTTGTTATTCTGCAGAGCTGCATATTTGAACAAAAGCTCAAGCTAGACGGAGTCTAAAGAAACCCTTTCATGTCCTCAGTTTAACGTTTGGGGAAAGCTAGTTTACTATAAGCCAAGATCAGTGAGATTACTACTGCACTGATGCTTCCTACACTGATTTCCAGTGAGTGGCAGGTTGCAAACTTTAGACACAATTATGACATCTTAGATTAGCTTGTCGGACCTCCGGTCACAACATTACGTTCATTCAGTTTTATTTTTTATACCTGCAAAGACAAAAATGATGGAAGCCCAACAAGGTAACAGTAGAGAGGAAAAACATCCCTTTTAACAAGAAACGAATAATAAAAACATTGAGACAGAGATGGTTCGTTTACCAGATGAATAAATTAGATGGAAAAATCAAGATTAGTTGTAAAGAAAACATTTGAGAATAATGGAATCAAATCATTTTACAAATACTCCATTGATCACAGCCTTCAATAACCAAAACATGTTTAAAAGTGTGGAACTGTGAGTAACTTCAGACACAGAACCTCAGACTGCAGCGTTTTTGGTTGTTTGTACACATGCGTGTGCAGGACGCGTTAATGCTTCAGTACATGCCACTTTATTTCACTACAGTCTACATGACATTAGCAAAGTACTGCAGAACCATCTGCTTCACTTTCCACCTCATTTACAACAGAAAGAGGCCGGGGCGCTGTATAAGAGCCAAGAACCAATCACTAGCTGGCGTGAAATATTAATATTTTAAACGAATGGCGTTATTAGTGCTGCGTAGCAGAGGAGTAACATTGAAACGTCTAGTTGGCCGATCGCACACGTCACTAAAGCGTGACGTCGCTGTTCCGTTTCATGCGTTCCTTCTCTGGTTTTCAGCGTCGCCACCTTGAGCCGGCCGTTGGTGTGGGGGGGGGGGGGGGGCTATAAAAATAAGACTGATGCAAATTGAATCTCAGCCATCTTGTTAAAACAAATGACTTGTTAAAACAAGTCATTTCAGTGCATCTCCAGGCAGTTTGGCCTTTGGAGACGGTCTCAGCGGTCCGACAGCATCGGCACACCTTTGGCGTCACGCTGCCTTCACGCTGCCACATGGCAGTTTTCTTTCAGAGAATGATAAAGTATTTATTCTGCTCCACTTCATCTTCTCATCTAGCAGTAAATGGGAAACTAAATGAACTCTTGATGGTTTCTTACTGATTTCTGCTTCTCATTGCAGAATCACATGGAAAACCTGTTTTTGTTACTTGTTCTGTGCGTCTGGTCTTTGCTGGCTTTACCTTTGCTTTTCAAAATGTCTTACAAATAAATACACAATGACTCTGAGCTCTTGCAGCAGCAGAGGAAACACTTATGTAATCAGCTGAGTAACACTGCTCACATGAGGTTAAAGCAACTTACAGCCGATTCAGTGACATAAAGAAAATAGTTTTTAAGGACACTTAAAATTGTGTTAATTATTAAATTAACACAATTATTGCTGATTTTACAGTTAGTGAGACATTGTTGGTATAATGCTTTCATAAGTATGATAATAATTGTTTCTTTATAAGGTAAAAGCTGGGATCAGTTTCAGTTCCTTTACGTAGTCTTACTAACTCAAGTTTAATAGTCTCATGAGGTGACTGTGCATGACTTTAATTTCTAGGGGAGATTTGACCCAGCTTGACATTAGTTAGTGTGTAACAGTGTCCACGCCTCACACAGGTTTAGCTGTACGTCGAACAGCTGTGGCGATGAAGGATCCCGAGCCGCTCTGCAGTGACCAGGTTGTTCATGTTTGATCAGTTCTGAGCTCTAACCGTGGCGTTGACTCTGCTTGTGTCTCTCTGTGCCGGCTGAAGGTGTTCGAGGCTTCAGACTTTGGCTCTCACCCCCTGTTCTCAGTGGCACAGGGAGGAGTGGACCTGCAGCAAGTGAGTATGGCCGCCTGGGGGCAAGGGTCGAGGGTCAAAGGTCACTGCATCACTGCCTTTGTTTCCATCTACCAACGAGCTGCTTTGACTGGAAGCTGGGCTGGAAAGATGGAAACATTTAGAGCTGCAGTCAGCTGCTCCAGACTGAAATGTGTTCACTATACGATGTAATGAGAAGCCCTGCAAACATTTGTAAAAGTTTAATGATTTAATTTTGCGAGTACAAATATATGCACTGCTCAAAAGATTAGAGAACACACTGAAAACACATCTATCAGCACTGATATGGACTCAGCGTTAGGAATGAAAGGACCTGCACAGCTCTGAAAATCAAAGTGATGATGCATCAGGCTAGCCACTGCAGCAACTCCAAACGGTACTCAGCAGTTTGTCCACGTGCTTGTCTTGTATGCTTGTCTGAAAATGGCGGCGCACGCTCCTAATACGATGAACGGTGTCCTGGGGGATGTCCTCCTAGATCAGGACAGTCTGAGGGGCAACCTGGTGACATCCAAGAGGTCTTCTATTAGATTTAGATCAGACGAGCCCGAGGACCATCGGTGGCATCGATTCCTTCATCCTCCAGGAACTGCCTGCACGCTCTCACCACATGTCGTACACCAGGAGGAACCCAGGACACACTGCACCAGCGCCATACCTGATGGCAGTCAGGGTGCTGCTGCCTGGCCTGTACAGGCCTGTGCGTCCATCGCTGATTGACCACCAAACACTCACGCTGAGCGATCTTACAGACATAACGTTCTCCATGAGAGCGTTCCACGTCTGTCACGTGTGCTCAGGGTGAACCTGCTCTCATTTCTGAGAAACTCAGGGCATCTGCTGTGGACCTGCCACTGCTGGTATTCTACGGCCAACGGGGCTCCGTAGTCCCGGGCCGAGAGCACAGGGCCTACTGATGGCCCTCAAGACACAAGACACACCTTCATGAAGTCTGTGTCTGATTGTTTGGTCAGAGACGTTCACACCGGTGGCCTGCTGGAGTTCATTTTCTTGGGCTCATCCTGTTTCTGCACGGTTGAACCTGCAGCCGTGTCCCACAATCTTTGGGCCATTTTGGGAGAACGCCTACTGGCTGCCCCTCCCTGAGCCTGCTTCTTTTGGAGCACCCAGTGCTACTCATGAGAGATGACCTGTCATTGGAGGATCAAGACAAATAAGGTCCCAAACCTTGGGTTTGGCTGCAAATACTAGTAGAAAGGAGTAGAAAAATCTGACTAAACTAAAAGATTTGACAAAGTTTCAAACGTGACGTGTTTGGCAAAAGTTCATAGAACAATATAAAAGTTCCTGAAAAACTCTTTCAAGTGTCTTTATTTGCAAAGTCCTCAGTTTGCTGTTTTATGCAATTCTATTCACATAACTCGAATTTTTCTCAGGATAATTATGTCGTTTTTCAGCTGCACTCAATTTGCAGATCAAACCCTTTCTTCCCATTCGGTCCTCATTCCCCACACAATGCAAAAGCTCGCCTCCTATTTATTCAGATTTTTTGCTTAAATGGTTCATCGCCAACACACGCCAGTGCTTTGTTTCAGTTTTCGCTCTAAATCAACAGATCTTTTTGTTTCGGTCGGTCGTGTGAGGCAGGTAAACAACCGCCTCCCTCGGGCCGGGGAGCGAGCCAAAGGACCCGAATTCAATCATGCTGCTGCTGCGCTGCAGCCGACACTGGCATCGTAAAAACAGATGGTCAGTGCGGTCAAGGATGCCAGATTAACACCTCTGCACAGAGGAGCTCAGTAAACATGAATCTTCTTTTTCACATTAAAAGCAAACAAAATGCAGGCGCACGATAGCCGAGGCTGAGCGAAGACGAATGCCGTGGAGAAAAAGTACAAAACAGGCAAAGAAAAACACGGAATCGAGGAGGAAAAGAGACGTGACGAATCGAGACGGGAAAAAGTAAGTGCAGGGAAGGAGAGGGAAAGATGAAGAGACGAGCGGGGATGCCGAGCAGCTCCTCCTGGCCAGTTTAATCGCCGTTAAAAGCTGAGAGGGGTCGGCCTCCTCGCTCTCGGTGCTTTCACCTCCCAGGAAACGCATCCGTTAACGAATTTTCCCCCGACTCATTGTTTGCTCTGAAACACAAATGAAGCAGGAGTGGAGCCTGTGAAACAGTCGTTGGCTATAATTGCGAGGATGGATCGGGGAATGCACGGGTCATTTTTTATGTGCTTGTATCCTAGAGGGCTGCCATCATGTTCACAGTCCTCAAACAGGCTTAAAAGTGGCTTAATGAATCCAAAACGTACAGCAGGTGGGAAGCTATCAAAAGCACAAACACTCAATACAGCCTCATTATTCTAATGCTCAATAACAGCTGTCCTGCTTTGCAGCAGCTGAACCAGAGCTCCACGGTGTGTTGATGTGCTGGATATGTTGAGTACCACAAACTTCCTTGAGACTCTAATGGAGTCTCAGAGTTGTTAATTAACAACATTTCTTCATCAAGTTACTCGTAAACTCGATGCAAACATCACCGAGTTCCCTCAAAGAGCGTTTTCTGATGCACATTAGCTCTAATTAAATGTCGTTTCTAGGAGACAGACACACACCTGCAGTCTGGCACGTTAAAGCAGCTCATGAAGCTCACCTGCAACAAAACTGCACGTTTAATCACATTTACAGGAAAATATCATGTCTCCAGCAAAATACCTTAAAAACACAGGTATTAATAATGACCATGATTCATACAATAATAAAAGAAATGATGCAGCACCATCGGGGATGGTGATTCTAGTCGATGTTACTTGGATGCTGGTTGTTGAGGCTGAGGTTTGGAGATTATGAGCGGTGCCTCGTGACCGGCGGTCATTGCCTGAACGAGCAGAGGTCTTTGCATCGAAGCGGGTTTCAGGACTTCAGGGTTAACCCTGCGTGCACATCACCATGGTAACTTATGCAGCTAACCTGCTCTGGAGCGGACTGCGTTTGAGAGCAGAGACCAGCGGGGGTGAAATCGTTGTCAGTTTCCTTTTACAGACCTGTGAGCACAGACAGGCTTTGTCTGTCCTTCTTATCAGTAAGAAAGATCAAGAAATCTGGTTTTATAGATTTAATATATCCATCCTTCCGTTCTCGTCCGCTTATCCATATTGGGGTCGCGTCGGGAACGGAGCCTTTCTCAGAGTTAATATAGTTTGGGGGGTTTTCTTTGTTTTCCCCGTTGGCTGCAAGTAATTTTAAAACTGCTCTGGACCTGATGTCATATTTGTAGTAGTCCGAGGATAGATTTGAATTCTAGTTTTATATTTATCCTTGGTTAAAAACACAGGTGTGGATATTAATTTGATGGAGTAAATGGCTGTTCTATGACAGCGCGGTGTGAAGGCTCAGGACCTTCAGACAGGCTTTGTAACTGTAACACACCTTTCCCCGCCTCACTGACCAGCGTGCACACACACACACACACACTGCTGCAGTATGTTGTTTAACCTCTTTGTATTTCATATATCGTACAGCTTTTGTAAGTCGCTCTGCTGGCCGTAGGCGGGTTACACCATCACTGTCATGTGACAGACTCTGCTTCTATTTACCGTTTTTAGTAACCGTATTTGTTTGACCGCTGAGCCTCGTTGTTGCTGTGTTGAACCCGCCTCATGGCCCAGGAGTTCACGTTATTCTTGACTTCATGTTTTGCTAACAGCACCTGCACCATGCAGGAAGTGAGCAGATAGCAGATTTTGGCCATTAATCTCTCCTAAGCTGTTTTAGGACAGCGTGATGAATAGTCTGCGAGCTGGCAGTACATCAGCCTGTAGGTCAGGTTTATGCACGTATGTTAAATCCACTTTAATGTGTTTGGGTTTGTTGTGTGTGTTGTGTGACTGTAACTGAAATTATGTGACTTACTGATCTGGGCATAATTTCTGAGCTCTTATCGTCTTGAAGTGTATCCAGATTTTCTCACATATCTCACGTGTACTCGTGCATGAATCAAACCTACAATCTGATAAAATTTTGCGCCTCTTCTACGAGGTTTTTTTCCCCCGGTGAGCGCTGGTGCATAAATAGCTTCATGTCAAGGGCGCGGGTGTTCAGACCAGACGTAACGGTCTGAGGTCAGGTTGTTGCGGCCGGTGTGTCGCCGTCATTAGCCACACGTCCTTCAGCCAGACGCTGAACCCGCCATCGCTGCGTCGTGTTGGTTTAAAAGCGGCCTCGGGCCACGTTGCTTCTACATTTAAAATTCTTTCATCCAGCAGAGCCTCTGTGAGTGATCATCTGAGGGTGTGACTGCAGCGGCTCATGGCTTCATAAAAGATGCACACATCCCCTCTCAGCGTTTTTAAACGGTGTTTTTCCCGTCGTCACCTTTGCCTTTGAAACCCAGATCCACAGTCGGCAGCGTCTGCCCGACGAAGCTGAAAACCTCGTGGAGAAAAGCAGAGACAAACACACGGTAACCTCGGAAAAGCAATTTAGAGGAATGAACTTCTCTTTTCTTGTTTGAGCTGAATGGAGTGAATACAAGCTCGGCTGCTTCACTGTAAAATGTTCTTCTTACTCGAGGTAAATTGAAATGATTACCACAATAAATGAGTTTTTATTTTCAAATATGATTTTTATATTCTCGGGCTTCTCGACATCCAGTATTTCAGATTTTAGTCCGAAGAAACTGCTGGTGGTGTGAAAGTGCTACATCTTTAGCAAATGGTGAATGATCTCCTTGTTTCTTAATCGGGAAAAGGATTCAAGCCAAAATCAATCGTAATTAAGCCGTGAAACATTTAGAATAAAGTCTCTGGGATCAGCGCGAAGCATGAAGTCACTCAGCAGGTCGTGTTGTGTGTTAGAATTTACCATTGTTGTTCTTTGCGTGTCTTATTCACACTATAAGAAATGTTTAAATCTGATATTAAAGTGGATTTATTCAGCTTGGACGCCCAAGTTTGTGAATGAAATAACTTGAGAAGAAAGTCAACTGGATTTTAAAGTTGATGAACCATAAGTGCGTCAGGAGGCTGAGACAACAACAG